TAGATTTAATACATCTATATGGGTGTCGGTTTCTAAGACTTTTTGTAATTATCAGTTAGGTATCATTCTTTTGGATTGGGTCCCTTCTTAACTTGAATACTTTTTTGGTGGGCTTGGTTTTTTTAGCCCCTGTATACTCTTTCAATTTTCTCGATGAAAGCTCAGTTTCTTATTAAAAAAAAATAATAATAAAGAAGGTTTACATTGTTTTTGAGATTAGGCAACTTTGTATTTTAGGATAACCAAACTCACATGCCAATAAGCCCGTCTTATTACAAAAGGGTAATTTGTGTGCCAAAACACTCTCTAAATGTTGTGATAAGCTTTGTATTTGTAAACTTAGATTCAGGAAGAAAATAATAGAAGCAAACGATAATATGGATGAGCATAAGAATTTATTAATATATTAGGAGGTTGGGCATCTGATACATTATTTTTAATATGGAGGGTACAGGGCCTATCATATTTCTTGGACTGGACCTGCTGCTTGTCTCAATGTGTAGTTTCAAATTGCACATCTAATAGAAAAACAACTTGAAATTGCACCAAATAAGTAAACTTGCAAATCCTGAAAGAGTTACATACTGGCTGCTGCCATAGTGCAATCAGTTTTTGATCCGAGATCTTTATCTGAACACACGAAAATCTTTTTGTGATGTATTAGCTTTCAGTTCAGAAGCTTAGGGTAGAAAAGATATTCTGCCATCGCAAATTGAAAGTTTTTAACACAACATTTTGCAGGTATGCTCCAGCAACGCAATTATGGAGGGGAAGACTCCATGTGATGGGTGGTAGCAAGGAAAACCGCCATACACCTGGATTGGAGCACTGGAGCATTGCTGTAAAAGATGGTAAAGCATTGGAGAAGAAGTGGCGGGATGAAGTGCCCATACCCCGTGGAGGACCACACAGGTTTTCGGACACCCTTTTTTATTCTAATCAAAATTGTCAAAATTATGTTCACAAACGAGACAAATTAGTCATTTAACAGTTCCAGTGTTTTAGGCAATCCATATATTTCAAAACGCTTCATCTAACGCATTCCAATACTGCTATTTGACATTGTCCAGGGCTTGTGTCGTGGCCAATGATCGGCTTTTTGTTATCGGTGGTCAAGAAGGCGACTTTATGGCCAAACCCGGTTCACCTATTTTTAAGTGCTCCCGTAGGCATGAGGTATGTTTGAATATAATCGTAAGAGTTGTGAATTGTGACTAGATAGCTGATAAGCTGGCTTATAATATTCATATCATGTTAGTTCATGTGTAGGTCAGATTTTATATTATCCCCAAGAACTCACAGAGATTATTGTTGATCATTAATAGCCTTCATTTTTTCATGTTTCAGGTTGTTTATGGTGATGTTTACATGCTGGATGATGAAATGAAATGGAAAACATTAACTCCCATGCCAAAACCCGATTCTCATATTGAGTGTGCTTGGGTTATTGTCAATAATTCACTTATCGTCTCCGGTGGTACAACCGAAAAGCACCCAATTACCAAACGGATGATCTTGGTTGGGGAGGTCTTCCGATTCGATTTTGATTCATTAGTATGAACCGATATCTATCTTTGAACAAATCTCTCTCTCTAAACAATGTTGTTTGTGTAATGATCTTGTTTTTTTTTTCCTTCCCCAACAAATGCAGGCTTGGTCAGTGATTGGAAAGCTTCCTTACCGCATAAAAACCACACTAACTGGTTTTTGGGATGGATATTTGTACTTTACTTCAGGGCAGCGGGACCGAGGACCCGATAACCCGCAGCCAAGGCAGGTTGTAGGAGATATGTGGAGAACCAAGTTAAGGATTTAAGCTTATGATACTATTTTTTTTTTCCATCAACTTTATGAGATGTTGATGCCTTCTCCATTTGGCAGTTTTTGGTCTAGATTTTTTGTTGAATTGTTAAAATACTTAGATGTTCATTAATTCCTCTATGAATAGAGGTTAATCTCTTGTAATGACATACTTATTTCTTTGATAATTCTTGGAGATTTTCTCCTTTGTCGTGTAGGTTAAACCGCCCAGGTAACATCATTGTTCAAACTCAAAGATCTGAGTTAAATGACAACTTCAATTCCATACATATCTCATGCAAGGCCAGATACAACACTTCTCATTTATAGATATCGTTCTCCCAAATTTTCCTTTTCTAGACTATTTCCAATTGTTTGAAAGATGTTTGGCTCACGATTTCAATATATTACATGCAATAAAACTTTCAATAAAGCAAACACAAAATTAGTTTTTAAGGAAAGAGGATGGAATACAAACATACACTTCTCATAAGGAGCAAATGGCCTTGAAAGGCTTTGTCTCTTGGAACGAGATAAAATACGAATCAATTTCCATTGCCCCCATCAAAATTCATAGTACATAGGGTGGTTAACATTCAAACATTAAATTTTTGAGGAACAGAGTCAAAGTCATCGTAATCGAATCTCTGCCTCTCTCTTCCAGCCTGAAGACAAGAAAAAAACCTTTTAGTTACCTACTTATATATTAGTATAATGAAATTTTAAGTTGGAGATGCTCACCTTTGCCAAATACAGAGGATCAGATGATATATTTTCATCCATAGTAGTCAATTTCTTCGCAAGTGTCATTATCCTGTAATGAACAGAGGAAGGTGGGAAAAGAACAATCAAGTATGGTCAGACCAAAACCAAGTACGTATAACCAATATCAGACGTCTGTTTAGTCATAAATCGCGATAAATATGGCAACTGAGCCAATGCAGCTTATCTTGCCACAAAGCTCTACAAAATAAGGTAGTTTTTTTCATATAATAACTCCAACAACATCCATTTCATCATACTACAATCGTTCAATTCCAAACATCATACCTCCGGATTGACGAGTCAATATGTTCAATCATCTTGCTGGATTTGTACTGCTCAGAATCCTCAAGGAATCTGACCATTCCATCTTTCTGATTAATTGTTGCAAAAATCTCACCGTCCTGGATCTAAAATTGTACAAAACTTTGATATTACTAGAGATGGAGGTTGATGAATAGATTAATAGACTAATCCGGCGATCCTGAAATTACCATTTGTAGTACATGCATTTCAGCTTCCTTTGGGCTGTTGAGTTTAACAGTATTGGCTATATCTTGGAGAGAGAGGGTCAAGTACGTCTGTGTTAATCTCTGAATGTTGCGCTTATACATAGAAGATACAACCTGATTCACGAGTCCAAGATTGTTGTCCTGGTAATAACAAAACCAATACCTCATATCAAGGACCCAAAATCATTCAGATTATAGATCCATAAACCAAGATCTAAATAACTAAGTTCTCTTCTCTGCATATATATATACCACTTAATTAGACCATCTGAAGTGATAATAAATGAAAAAGGAATTCTTACACTTTCAAATTTCTCCTTGTTTGTTTGAAGAGCAGTGTCTAATTCGGTAATATTTCCCGTGCTATAACTATTTGCCAATTCAATGTAGGGCTGTAAAAGAGGAAACAGACAATAAATAAATCAAAGTAGCTTGGAGACATCACTTGGATCACAGAGGGGGAAAAGTATTCTTATAGCTACAGTCACGGTCAAAAGTGAGGGGATGGGGATAATGCACCACATCGGCTACGTGGGTAAATTGGCAAAAATAACTTCCAAACACACAACTGGTTGATCGTCAAGGGTAGAGTAACCTCTGCCACTGCCTGCTCTCCCAACTCCCCCTCTCCCAATCCAGAAAAGAAAATGTCTACTGAAGTTATGGGGGGCTTGTGGCAACTGAATCTGCTCATGCATTTTCCCTTCAGCCCTTATGCACAGTTTCCATCAGCAAAATTTGATTGCAAAAATATATCAAATGGGACCAGCACCAAACCTCTAAAGCAATTTGTTCACTTTCTCCAGCAATGCTGCTACAATCAGAAACGGGATTGTGCTCTACCTAAATACAATCTAGAAGCATGTCTCTCGAGCTAGGTTGTCAATTTTTCAGGATTGTAATAAAGAACTGCATTGCTCATGCATCTATATAAACCCACCAGTATGCCGCAGTGGTGTGTTCTTTGCAGAGGGGCCTCTGAAGACCTCCAGCATTTGTCATGGTGCTTCGTTTTTTTTACTGTTTTGGGGTAGAGCTAGCCCTTCCTAGGGATATTAGGGTGTTTTTGGAGGAGGTGCTGCTTTCCCTTCCTTTTCGTGATAGGGGGCGGTTCATGTGGCAGGTGGGTTTTTTGTCTACTTTGTGGGGTATTTGGCTGGAGAGGAACAATAGAATTTTTAGGGGGGTGGAGAAGACGTTGGATTCTATTTGGGACCTTGTTAGGTTTAAGACTTCTTTGCGGGCTTCGGTCTCTAAAGCCTTTTGTAATTATCAATTAGATATTATTTTGGATGGAACCCCTTTTCTTTAATGGGTGCCCTCTTTTGGGGCTGTTTTTTTGTATGCCCTTCTTGTTTTTCTTTTCATTCTTCTCAATAAAAGTGCAGATTCTTATCAAAAATAAATAAATAAATAAACTCACCATTGAAGGAGGAAAACTACTATATGGAATCTTATCCTAAAAGCAAATTTCTAATTTCAAGTAAATACAGATTCATCGTTGCATTAATAATAATGATCTTAATTTGTGGATTTGATAACTAAACCCAAAAATGATCAGTAATTCCTACACATTCAAAATGAGGTACAGTCATTTTCGCCAAAACTTAATGAGATTTTGCTAAATTAGTAGCTTGAAATCAAACATTAAAAAAGTAATATTCATGTAATGAATTACATTAACCTAGTATCAAAATACTTAATCTGTCCATGAAAGAAGAGATGTACTTCAATTTACAATACCTGACAGAAGTTTTTTAAATTTCTCTGAGCTACTGAAGAAGTGTACTTCGGGAGACTGGTTGAAAACTGCCACCAAATGCATGTATAGGCATATTAGTCTCCATAACATCATAGGAACACATAAGCTACAAAGTGATTTAAAGCTGTAAAGAATATGAGCAAATAAAAAAGCAACAAGAACCACTATGCAGATAAGCATTGTTAAGTTAAAAATTCTATGATATGAAAATCCAAGTTAATTTGCTCCATTAGTCAAAATCCAACAATGATCACACATTACATCCTTGTTGAGTGCATAATTACTTGTGGCCACCTCCTCCTTGATGGAAAATCTCACTTTTACTGTAGTAGCATGTTTCTAGGTAACAGTTGCCAACAGAAAGGTGCCAAATATGGAGACAGCAGAGCCATAGAAAGCCAAAACATAAAGCATGAGACACAAGAATATTTAGTAATGCTAAGATCTGACAACTGTACAACTATTGTATATATGTAAGAAGCAAGAACCAACGTCCAGATATTCATTTCACATTTCCAAATATTCAAGGCCTTAGAACCAATAATACAAACTAATAATAAAGCATATATAAAGAATAGCATACTTGTCCATTGTAAATGAGTGAGACCAAAATGTATTTTTTGTATGCTTCAACAGCTATAGCATTTATTGTTGGCATCGGAGCAGTTACAACCTGTAACAAAATAAGGATAGTGGTTTTCAGATCATGCAGAAGCATGTTAAATAAATCAATATCAATAATATAAAAGGAAAGAGTTCCATTTAGATGGTGAACATTATGAAGAAGCTCAAGCGCTTTATGAAATAGCTTTAGTCCTATGCATATCATCCCCCTGTCACATTATCATAAGAAAGATATCGTCAGAGAATCCCTATTTATGGGGAAAGACAAAATTGAATCTCAGCGTATGGATGATCGCATAAAACTAAATCGTGTATCACATTTTATTAAAAGGACAATGTCATTCAGAAGATGATAGATTTGTCACAACTTACAACGAGCTTGTTAAACAAAATTTATTGCTTCCCAATTAAATAAATGTCTTTAATAGGACAGTTAAATAATTTTATAAATGAAGTCTCGAGAGGCCTTATTTTATATATTTTATGAGAAACCAATGAGAAAATATTGACAATAAAACACTCCAGAAAAGTTGAGGGTCCAAACACATATACCTCATGCAAAGATAAACATGCAGAAGGGAAAGTAGATAGGACAACTCAAGAGCTTCTGTATCAGAAAAAGACATCTTAAAGTGAAAGTCATATGAAGTAGAACTCCCAAAGAGAGAACTAAGGCAATGAATGTTCCTTTCTCATAGGGAAGGTTACAGGGATGGGAAAAGCAATCAATAAGACCATCACCTGGCTAATAACCCTTCCTTAGGATCCCTCTCCAAAGGTAAACTTCTTTTTTTTATGAAATAAACAATTTCATTGATGTATGAAATTACAAAAGCCTTAAAGGACGATTACATGAAGCACTCCCAATTGGCTAAAAGGGAAGTGTAGCTATAGTTGTGAAACATAGGGGAGGATTTACACTAAGTAATGACTGTAAAGACTATAGCTTCAAAAAAAAATTTCAAAAGGGAGAGTTTTGTCGCTGAAGATGCGTTGGTTGCGTTCTCTCCAAGTGACCCAAAGGAAAGCATGCATAAAGTTCTGCCAAAGAAGAGCTTTCTCTGAAATGGGTGTCCGGTTAGAGTAGCTTCAATGAGGAGAGGGGGATCCGTTGGCAGAGCAGTGTACCAACCAAAAGTGCTATGGGTGAGGTTCCAGAATTTGGAAAAGCAAGGGAGACCCCAAAAATAGACTTTCATGAGTACCTCAAAGTTCCTCACGTCATTATAGTCATATTCCAATTAGCACGATGTCACCGGTATTAACTCGCTCACTATAGTCTTATACCACAAAGTACTAGGCTTTAACAGGAACCACCAAAACTTCGAGGAATAACATAGGCAGGACTAAAAAAGTTGACTGAGTACATGAAGATAATAAAATGCATCTCAGGCAAGAAAATATTAATCAAAGAATGAGAAATACATCATTTATTTTTTTAATTTTTTTTTAAGGAAACGATTTCATTGATATATGAAATTAAGAAAACAAAAGGAGGAGAAAATCCCTATCCGTGGGAGTTACAAAAATCCTCTCCCAATTGGATAACACTGATGCGATACTGTAATGATGAAAGAAATACATCATTTAAGAGCTTAACGTGAAGAAGACAAGCAACTCACCCGTAATAACAATAAAGAAACAGGTCCCTCGGTTGATCAACCTCGAGAATATCATTATCCAAAATGGATCTGCCAGCTTTGTAGCACTTTGCTAATACGCAAAGAAGAAGAAACTCCGGATGTAAAGTAGTTAAGTGTTCTGAGGAGGTCTGGAGTTTTCTAATAGCAGTAAGAAGTGGAGCCACTCCTCTTAATGGAGCCTCAAGTAGCAAAACTTGTTCTTTGAGCCTCTTGCAAACAGAGACGACTGCAGAATCAGCAGAATGTGATAATAGATTGTGGAAAATCCAGACGGCAGCACTCCCATCTGTTAATAATAATAACGTTTAAAGTTCACGATGATTACATTTTTCAGGTGCTAAGCGAATCTGCTCTGGGTTGCAAGAAGAGATAAATCTTGAAATAGTCAGAACAGTTGAACTGGATTGCTCTTGTGAAATTGGTCCGGACGTGCATGCCTCTCTGCGAATTATTTCAAGAAGATATTATAGATAATAGATCAATCCCCTCTGCGCACATATTCAGTAATGAAAATGGTAAAGGATTTAATCAGATGCATTCCCATTACTGCTCCAACCATATACTCAAAATCAAGGCCTAGAATAATCTGAACATAGGATGTCGCGGCCATTAGAAGTCGTATCCAAGATGAGTGTTATCCTAACAAAATCCAAACCATCAAACGCCAATTCTTTAACTCCGTCGCTTCAAAATTTTACCAAAGGAAATGATCGTCCAACACAATTTCCTACTGGCAGGAATAAATCTTGATAGTGGCGTGATATACAGGGTAGCAGGCGGGACCCTAATTAGCCTAAAGAACCAGAATACAGATAGAATAGTTGAGAGAAGAAAAACTTACAGAACGTAGAGATATCCTAGAGAGTGTTTGGAAGCATCAAGTTGAGTCAATGCGGAAGGTAAAGAAGCGGTGTCGGTGTGAAGCAGTTCTTCTGATTGCTTGAGAAGAGTGTGGAGGCGTGAGATATCGCCGGCCGTACTGGACAACCCTTGGATTTGAGCCACGAGAACTTCAACCGTGCCCATGGTCGATGAATGCGAAGCTCGTAGTTGAAGTTACACAGTGGGTGTAGCACCTGCAGGAGGAGAATCTTCTATCTTGGGAGAGGAAACTGAAATGGAGCATCAATTCATCGATCACTCCTTTCTTTCTTGTCGAGTCGGGAATCCGAACGGTGAATTGAATATCAGAACCAGTTAGAACTTGGAAGAAGGGGTAGGCCCATTACATCAGGCCCAACTCTACTTCTGGGCTCACCGCTTCCAGTAAGCCCAGCTATCATCACTGAATTCCACGTGGATTTCAAATTAATTCTTTCTTATTACATGAATTTCCATAATTTAATTCCAGCTAATCATATTTTGATTTTTCATTAATCATTAAAAGTCAATGTTAGTAAAAATTTTCTCTTCATTTTCCGCGAGCATTCAAATAGAGAAGAAAATAAAACAATTACATTTCTTTCAATTTTTTCTTATTCCAAATAAAATACAAAATTCAAAATAATTTTCTTAAAGTGGTTTAAAAGGTCACATTTGAGAAATTATTATAAAAGTATAAAGTATAAATTATAAATTATAAAATTGGTCATTTAGGTCTATTACGTCTTTTGAATTTTAAAATGTGTTAATAAGTCTATTAAATATCAAATTTGATGACTAAATTTCGAAATTTAGTACCTTAGTCCGAAGTTCATTTTCTATTTGATATTTTATAAAATATAAAATAATTTCAGGTTTTATTTTAGTACAAAAGACATAGTAGGAGGGGACCTTCCGACTTCAAAATCAGAATCAAATGAATTAACTGAAACTGAATTCAGGGATTGAAAATTTTGTAGATGGATAAATAAATTTTTTGGGCAATTGACTTGTTTCCTTGTCAAATGTTCGGTAAAAAAAAGATTAATAATAATAATGTAAATGTACAGTTTTCGAAGTCGTATACAATTTAGGGACTACACTGGTAATTTAACCAATATTTGTGATTTTTCAGTGGCGCCAGTTTGGAGAAGAGTGAGGTGTTCCATCTCCAGCAACAGTGCAATTTTCGCAGAAAAAAGGTGTTGTTTCATGGCAATCTCGTCCTGTAGAAGCCCAAATGAATAGCTATTGGCAGTTGCCTTGTCGAACATGGGAGAGGGTTTCTCCGATGGTTCTTCCCTCGCACACGAAGAGGTGCGTCGTCTCCTTCTGGGTTCACTGCTTACAGGTTTCTTCTAATTCAGCCTCCACATTTAGTTTTCTTCCGTTCTTATTCTCTAGAAGATGGTTGAGTCGAAGAGTTCCGTCTTCGTGTTTGCTTCAAACCAGACCGTTTCCTGATTATTCTCCCAAGAAACCTACGATTAGAGATACTGAACTCGTCAGTTACATCACCGCTGCAATTAAGTTGCGTCGTTCTGAGCCCCTCAAACGCATTCTGAAGCCCCATGAATCCAACTTTAGGCATCATCATCTGATTTGGGTGCTGATGAACATTAGGAATGATTATAATCTGGTTTTGGCTTTCTTTGATTGGGCACGGGTTCGTAGGGATCCATCACTGGAGGCCCGTTGCATTGTTATTCACATTGCCGTGGCATCAAATGACCTTAGAATGGCTCATGAGCTAGTTCGTGATTATTTCATCAGCTCAAAATTGGACGTTGGTGTTACAGTGGCTCAATTTACAGACCGGTTGATATACACGTACAAGGATTGGGGGTCAAATCCCATTACATTCGATATCTTTTTCCTAGTTCTTGTTGAAATCGGTTTATTCAGTGAAGCAAGAAAACTATTGGATAAATTGTTGAGCTATGGATTGGTTATTACTGTCGACTCTTGTAATTTCTTCCTTAGTCGCATTGCTCGCAATTCTGAAGGACTAGAGATGGCAATAGAGGTTTTCAGTGAATATGGTATTTGTTGGAATACTACATCATATAACATCATTATTTATTCTTTATGTCAATTGGGTAAAATAAAAGAAGCCCATCGATTACTGCTGCAGATGGAATTCAGGAGTTCTACGTCTGATGTTGTTAGTTATAGTACTGTGATTAGTGGATATTGTCATTTGGGAGAACTCAAGAAGGCTTTGAAGCTTATAGATGACATGCAGATAAATGGATTGAAGCCAAACCGATATACCTACAATAGCATAATATTGCTTCTGTGTAAAATTGGTAAGCCATTTGAAGCTGAAAAAGTATTGGGAGAGATGATTTCTCGAAAGATTATCCCTGATAATGTAGTCTACACAACTCTCATACATGGTTTCTACAAATTAGGACACGTTCAAACTGCAAATAAATTGTTTGATGAAATGCTGCTTAAGAAGATCAGTCCTGATTATGTAACCTATACAACTCTTATCCAGGGATTTGGTCAAAGTGGAAAGGTGATAGAACCAGAAAATCTGTTCCATGAAATGATTAGTAGAGGCTTAAAGCCTGATGAAGTTACTTATACAACATTAATTAATGTTTATTGCAAAGCAGGTGAGATGATGAAAGCATTTTCTCTTCACAATGAGATGATTCAAATGGGGCTAACTCCAAATATTGTTACTTACGGTGCTCTGATTGATGGCCTTTGTAAGCATGGAGAACTAGATACAGCAAATGAACTTTTGGATGAGATGCGCAAAAAAGGCCTTCAGATAAATGTGTGCACTTATAACTCAATTATTAATTGTATTTGCAAAGCTGGAAATATTGCACAAGGAATAAGATTGATGGAAGAGATGGAGGTGGCTGGGATTTATCCTGATACTATCACTTATACCACGATCATTGATGCTTATTGTAGATCAGGAGATATCGTTAAGGCTCATAAACTTCTTCAGGAGATGTTGGATAGAGGACTTCCACCAACAGTTGTTACGTTTAATGTTTTAATGAATGGATTTTGTATGTTGGGAATGCTTGAAGATGGTAATATGCTCTTGGGATGGATGCTAGAGAAGGGCATCATGCCCAATGCAACAACATACAATAATCTTATGAAGCAATATTGCATTAAAGATAATATGCATGCTACAAGTAAGATTTACAAGGGGATGCGGGATCAAGGAGTGATGCCTGATAGCAACACCTACAATATTTTAATAAAAGGGCATTGCAAAGCACGGAATATGAAAGAGGCATGGTTTTTGCATAAAGAAATGGTTGAAAAAGGATATATTCCCTCAGTTACTTCATACAATGCACTCATAAAAGGATTTTACAAGAAAAAGAAAATATTGGAGGCGAGGGAACTCTTTGAAGAGATGAGAGGACAGGGGTTGGTTTCTGATAGAGAAATATACAATATCTTTGTTGATATATACTATGAAGAAGGAAATACGGAGATAACTCTTAATCTTTGTGATGAAGCAATTGAGAAATGTCTTCTTGGTGAGAGACAAAAATAAAAGAGCCTCATCCGATATTTTTCCCTATACAATGATCAAAACTTGAAAATGGATTTTCAGTTTTATATGCATCAACGGTATTCCGTGCTCTATTAATCTAAAGCTTCTTGCTCAGTGTCATGGGAATGTACATGTTGGCACAAAAAGCAACTACTTAGGAGCTAATTTTATTGTTTGGATGTCCTATAAGCACATTTGCATAATTGATGCAAGTTTTATGATATTACCAAGCAACTTGGGTCAACAATCCGATGATTTTTCATCTTAGAGTGGGCTGGTGTTATTTGAGGCATTGGATAGCCTGATAATAGAAAACCACTTTTACTAAGAGCTTCTAGTAGTTTTGACCTGCAACAGTGGCAGAACTTATGGAACGGAAGTGGAGCTGCTAGGATTCACAACTCAAGGTTCAACTTCAAACTTTACACGTTAAATCTAAGAACTTATGTTATTATTTTTTCGTCAATGTCATCATAACATCTTGCTTCCTCTTCTTATTTTCTAACCATAATGTCCTCATCTTAGGACAGATAGCACTCAGAAAGCTAACAACTTTTTCTTTTTGTCCAGGTTTTTTCCAATAATTTCAAGATTTTCGAGATGTAAACAATTAGAAGGTCGTCATCAAAATTTGGAAAGCATGAAAGCAAAATTGAAGAAGAATATGGTAGTGGCAGCTGGTAGATCTCTCCTTTAAACTTCAGAAAATATTTTACTAGGTTAGTAAATTTTCAGTGCCAATTTATATTTTTTATTTTTCTTTATGGAAAACAAACTTTCATCGAGAAAAATGAAAGAATACAAACCGTGCCGATTTTTATGGTTTTTGACATTTTAGAGAAGTGCTAGTATTGAATTTAGTTTCCATGTAAATTACCTTCCATTCAACCTTGTACTGCCAATAGTCTACCTCCCAAATGGTAATTTACTAATTGAGGATAGCAAAATGAGTTGAGAATGATACACAGTCCACATTATCTAAGGTGTTCTTGTCATTTCATCATCTAACCACATTATCTAGGTTTAATGCTCCCTTTTTATGTTCTTTTACACATTAGTTTTGCAATTACACCCTTTTTTATTTTTATTTAACTCCAATTGGAGTGTTTTTTTTTTTTTTGGGGCTCCAAGGGGCTTTATATTTTTAAAAATTTTCACTATATCAATAAAAGGTTCTGTCCTTGTCTAGAAAAGGAGCGTCTGGAGTTGGGAACTTGAAATCGAGAAGTTGCTGATACTGGAAGGCCCAACAGAACACCGTGGAGTTTGTGAAGAGGATACTAACAGTAACATGTAAATGTGAGCATCTTAGTAAGCAACTTCTCACTTGTAGCTCAGTAGCTTGTGTTGGTATAAGATTGATTAGGATGACACGATCCTTAACTTTTGCTAAGATGCTGGACATTATGTGCCCAAGTAATTTGCTAAGATGTTTTCAACAACAACAAAAAAAAAAAAAGTTAATTGCGAAGATGCAGTAATTGTATTCCAATTATATTATTATGGACAGTCAATTACCATTATGTGCCAGCTTACTGGTGTCACTACTTAGAACAATATTGTAAAGCCTTCTTAGTCTGGGAAACTCTTTCCAATTTCACATGTTCATGTCCCTGCTTATTTCTCAGTTCTCAACTTCTTTTTTCAGAAAAATTATTTAGTCACTACCCATGCTTTGAAGGTTGATTTATTTGAGTAGATTCTTTGAATAATGCTGCTAAACACTCGTTTTCTTATGATAACCATTCAATTCTTGATAACCTAGTATTTTTTGACCTGTCAGGATCAAGTATGATTGCACGAGATGGATTAAAAGAAGTCATTTGGGGGACAGTTGCATCAAGATAGTCTTTTGCTGCTGATTAACGACAACTTCAAAGCATGCACTTTTATTTCAAAGGTTTATTTTGTCTATTTATAGTCATTATTCTTTTTTACAAGCTCATCCTTTAGATTATAAAAGCCTTGCCATTGTTAAGCTCTCATGAAGTAGTACCAAATTAAGTTGATTGGCTCTTTTTGCTTATTTAGAAATTATTTTAGGACATATTGATGAATACGATTCGTCTGGTTATCTGTATAAGATGGAAATACCATCTGGTTATCTGTATAAGATGGAAATACCTCAAGAAACCGCACGATGTTAATAGTACAAAATTCTGGAGGCAAGGCAGCTTGAATCGTATTACGCAGCTGACACGATAGTTGAGCATTTGGCCAAGCTTCCTTGGGAGGTCAGTTTGCATCAAACACTTAAAAAGTATCTTCGCAGATGACGAGCAGGTAAGATATGAGCATCTGTTGCCCACATTTATTAATGGATATCATCGACTTAGATTGTTGTCTGACAATGGAATGTTTTAAATTGGGGCAGGTAAAACGTGAATAATTCATCAAGATATCATCGAGAAGAATCACAAGTATCATGACCGTTAAATTAGTTAACTAGAGAGAGCAAAGGCCACTGCCTTTCGCAGGGGTCGTATTATTTGTTCTTGATACTGCTTTGGGAGGCCATTATGTCTATATTGACAGGAGGCATGCTGTTTTTCCATATGGGTGGCATGATGAGATGTTAAGAAACTTTGACACAGCTTCTTCTAGTCCCAATAGAAATGTTTGACATTTTTTGGGCATCCTTTGAAAATATTGATGGTATTTTTCTAACATTGACAACAGCCAGTAATTTGTGACATTTATAGTTGAATGTGTTATCTTCAATACATGCTTACCACCACTAAATTAAAAAGGGAAATGCATACGAAGAGATAATTTTTCTATTTTGTAAAAAATAAATACCTGTCAAATTTTTTAATTGCTGACTTTTAGTACCTAAGTATTGTTCATAATTAAAAGGTATCATATTAGTCACGAGTCATGTCCTTATAAAAATCGAATGAAGAAAATGAACAGGATATCTTTCTCCCCCATCACGTCCAGCCAAACAGAAAACAAAAAATTACTTTGTTCAAAATAATTTAGAAGTTCAGAGTATCCTCAATTCATCCTACAACGTGATACAATTCAAGGACAATTTTAATGAGATTGCCTTTTCCGAGAACAAAATCATTATTATTTTTTATAATACTTCACCAATTTCAATTATGTACCTATTCTTTCTTGTGTAACAGATGTAGAGAATCTATACCAACACACTCTGGAAAGCAATTTATGCAAGTCGAAATCAGATAGAATCGAGTATCTTTCACCAGTAGCATGATATGTCCAAGAGAAAATAATAATATTTTCGACATCAGCTAAAGAGGGGAAGGGTTTCAGCAAAATCAAACTGTATTGATAGTATCTGCAAGGGAACGAAGAATGCAGCCCAAGCCAGCCCTTTCTGTCAATTTTTCATGTATCCTAAGACACTGATCACATGTGGGACGATCACCAGTTGACAATCCTCTGTACAAGTACCTGTAAGTATACATATCAATGCTCACGTTTTGGCAAAAGTCCTTACCAAGAAACAACAAGAAAACAGCACCCAGATTTGGGGCTTGTTGAAGGAGGGTGAATTAATGGTTGTATTTTGGAAGATAGTGATTATATCATCACTAGCATCAGCCAGGAAAACCCTTGCCCGAGTGAGACAAGGAAATCTTTTCTACCCTTTCTATTCATTTTAGCAACCGATTGCTTCATCATGCTCAGCTGATTTCTTATAGGTGTTCAGAATTCCTAACAGATCAGCAAAATTCTGGAAAAAAAGGTGAGGGACTTCTTGGGGGGAACTAGGAAAGTAGAGGCAGAATTTATCTTGTCCAGTGGAATAAAGTAGTGCAGCCCATTGGCAGGAGTAATTTTTTCCATCAAGAAGTCACAAGCTACAATCTGATGAAGAAAGAACCCAATTTGGATCCGTCTCAAATCTTTCTTGGCAAATGCACAAGCAAGTACCATAGGAAGAGCTTTATTTTCTTTGACACTTCACTTTTCTAGTCATTCTTGTGTAAAAACACAAGCAAGGACCGTATACTCAGGAGAGAAACCTTCCTTTTGACTCCTCATTTAGAAAATGACTTTTACTACTGGTAGATCTAATTGCAACTTCCTTAGCCCCGAATCGAGTGTCTCCTCATCCCCTCAAAGTGGTGCAGCCTAATGGGAGAAAGGTTGGTTGGGACTTGCTAACTTAGAAGATGTGATGGGATATTTCTAGCTAAATGGTTATGGAGATTTCCACTTTTACAAAGACTCCATGGGACAAAAACAAATTCATATCAGCCAACCAATCATCCAACGTTCCAAGTAACTAAATGCAACACATGGCCTATTGAAATTGGCATATCTAGCAGTAGAAATCTGATGAGTTTGACATAAAATCAGAATGTTTAATTGCATAACTCATAGTAGGATCAGAGGCAGAAGAACAATATCAGAAAGTAAAGTTGGAATTTATTAAAAAGAAAAACAATTAGAATGGCCAACTTTAAACTCCCTCCTGCTAAGAAAAGTAGAAGCAATAAGAATGGATATTTTAGCAGCTAAATACCACACAAACTTACTTCATTAGAATATCATAGTACTCTGGATCCAACGAAGAAAACATCCCATCTACATCCTTTATAGCCATAAGAGCCCTATGCACCGCAATCCAATTTGCTGACTGCACAAGTCCAAATAATCACATCAGATTTATTCATCCTGCCACGTTAAGCAGACCGACAAAACATAAACATGAAAGAAAACAGCAAGCCTTCCAACAGATATAATTGGCCCCATCATTGAGATAATACCCAGAAAGTTCTAATTGGCCCCATCATTGAGAAAATGTAGGAAAAGCATAAAATTGAAAACTGATTATCATCCAGTAACAGAGACTCTCCAGTAATTGCCTTCAAACTTATAGGATTAACCACAAATTAAATATTAATAACAACAACATTAATCAATCATCAGATAAAATCGCAAGGAAAAATCATGATATAGAACAGAAGAAAAAATTTAATATCTATTCTTCACCGCCATTACATCTGAACAAAGCACGAGGGATCAGAAATCAAAGTGATAGACGAAAAAAAATGGACGAAAGGATACCTTGCAGCGCTCATCTCGGGTATTCGGAGGCGAACCTTCAAGAGCAGTTTTTAGAGCTTCCACTGGCCTAGACCTTAACGAATCGAAAATTGACTAATTGAGCATTATCAATTATTAAAAGGGAAAGTCAGAAGAAGGAGCTACATAAATTTAAATCCTATAAATCAAAGAGAAGGTAGAGAATTCGTTACTGTTTAAGTAAGCTCTCGATCTTCCGAGATTTGTGCTCAATTCTGGTGATTATGGCTTCTGCATTATCTGCTTCGACAAATTCAGCTGCAGCCGCCATTTTCTCCTTGCGCTATCACCCTACCTTCAGCAGGACTTCTCGAACTTAACCGGAAATCGATTATACCGATATAATTCAATAACCCAACAGTTATATGAACGAAATCGGATGTAAATCAGTGCAATCTGCCATGCACGATGTTGATTTATCAAAAACAAAAAACCTTTATTTCTGGTATTTTCACGATCCTTTCGAGTATCAATTAAAACGAAAAGAGAAGTTGATTTTATTTTTCAGATATTTATATGGCAGGTGAACACTGGTTCGATTTTATCGGTTTGTCCTACCGAACCAAACCATCTTTGATTCGACAAAACCGGTCATGAATGGAGCGAATCGGTTCGGAGCACAGACCAAAAAACAGATATGGGAAATAACCACACCGATATGAGAATCCCTCTTTATCTTTATCGCAGTTTCAAATATAGCAAAAATATTTAGTAAAATAAGTAAAATAACAATCACGTTTAGTTTTTTCATTGAATTTTAAAATTAAAAATTTATCCATTGATTTTGATATAACTATGATATCTTATGAACTTCTAATATGGTTTACTATTGATACACAACCATGATATCTATTAATATAACTATGGTACAGGTGTATTGATATAATATTATCATATCCACTTTTTTTTATATGAAAACCACGGTGCAAGAAAAAAAATTGATATATAAAGTTATTTTATAAAAAGTTTACGTGGATCATGCACGTCCAAAAAAAAAATTAAAATCTAATATAATTTATAAATTTAAACCGTTTATATATCTTATATTTAGTATCTAATTAATATTATTGATAATATTAGTATATTAACCAACAAATTGCAATGAAAACTGATATATGTGTAGATCAGATATATATATATATATATATATATATTTATATTTCGAAGGTATACTATATACTACAGAAGTACATCGGAAGTATATCAAATGTATATCAGATATAGATATACACTAAATATATATCAGATACAGATATAAGGGTAAAATTGAAATAATAAAAATTCTAAAAATAAATATTCAAATATTTTGTTATATTTGAAATTTTGAAAAACTGGTGACATTTTTTAAAATACATAAATTAAATTTATTTTTGCTGCCCACTCCAATTACCCTTTAGACAGTTTTTGAACATGAAGACTTAAAAAGACAGTTTGAACATGAAGACTTAAAAAGACTAAAAATCGCTATTGTCATGTATTTTGAGAGTGATTTTTAGCATAACAAAAAATTATTTTTGTTATCGTCAAATTCACCATATTTCAATTTATCATTTTTGACAAATTAAAAAATCAATTTTAAGAAAACATAAAATCGTAATTTTGAAAAATCAATTATACTCTAATCTTTTTTTTTTTTCAAAATCACTCATTTTACAGTCACTTGCAAACCCTTAGTAGATATGATTAAAAAAAAAAAACACTTCAATAGAAGCATAAAAAAAGATCACTTTATTTAGATCAGAGCTCAATACATATATATCTTACTGACTAAAGGTTACCACCTAGAGCACCTACAAAGGCTGTTAACTTGTTACTGTACATCAAAATTAGCCTCAGGCTTTTAACACCACCTAAAACACCTACACACTGTTAACCCAAGGAAATTACTACATCAAAATTAGCCATAACTTCTTTTAACATGAAACATATACAGGAAATTCCACTTCTACCCTAAAAACTTCACACGGAGTCGTCATGCGCGATGGACAAACCAGTTCCAAAAGCTGTGCCCCAGTTTGGCAATTTCCATACTAAGATGTCACCGTAGGCATGATCCTGTTTCACATCCACGCAGTCTTTCGTTTTCAGTACCTGCAGTATCATATTTGAATGTCACCCCTCGCACCAACGATTGTAATGGTTTAATATGAAAAACAGGGGATTTCACAGCGCTTGGCATGTTTTTTTACCACAGAATGATGGATCAAGCGCTGACAACAGAGCATGTGAGAACCAAACTGTACTAATAATTCAATATGAAGTATGAAATCAATCACACAATGTCTTTAGTTTTTATGGCTAAACTTTTTCAAAGCATACGAGTCTACAACGCCACAATATCTGGTTATCAGAAAAAACTTGCAAGAGTCTAATATTTCAGATGAGTTGTCACTATAGATAGGAATGACCACTATGCAAATTCATTTCGGTTCAATGCATTACAGCTAAACTTTTTCAAAGCTTCATTTTTCTTATCCTTGTATCAGCCCTACGTTGCATGTCTCTCTTCAGAAGTCTTTCTAAAGATAACGGCTATATGGAATTTCCTTTCTAACTTTCTAGGGTTTTGTTAAAACTTAAAAATAAAAAATAAAAAACAAAACAAAACAAAACAAAAACAAAAAAATACCCATTTTGGTCTTGTTCGGTTATATCTTGATGGTTGAGTTTTCGGCTAGATTTTGTCCATTATGGGTTCGATGGTAATCCACCACGGGCTCCTTTAATTTGTTGGGTTTGTTGTTTGAATGTTCTTTTATTGCTGATTGACGAACTTTGGGGGTTACTTCAAATATAATTTCTGACTCTTTCTTGCAATCGTTCAGATTGTAGAGGATCTTTGTATACTAATATAAGGAAGTTCAGAACTTTGTAACTTTTTACCATTTTAATGAAAACAATCAGTATAGTTTCATTGAGAGAGTTTTCTGAAAATGCTGAGGAGGTTGCAAAACCAGGTGAACGATTCAGATAATAATCTAATATAATCTTGTCAACATTTTTAACGAAATTATATAATAACGCCCATATGCCTAAAATGCATCAAAGTCCCTTTTCAGAAAAGGTGACAATACCTCAGAGAAATACACTTCAACACGCACTACCCATTATCAAACAACAAGAAGAAAAATGAAAAATCAGAAAACGACTCAGAATAAAATAAGAAAATCAAAACAAAAGAAGATGAAACATACCAATATCTCGTAGAATACACTTGAACTCTCTTTTCTAGTCTTTTCTCTAAGAAGGTGTGATAAATTTACAACCTTTTCCACACTTTCCACCCTTCTACTTGTAAAATTTTGGAGAAGATATTCGGCTACCATTCTGTGTCATCAGAGGTTTAAGAAGTTAAAATCAAGTGGGAATGAAATGTAGAGCAGACGAGAAATGTGAAGACCACACAACCCAATCCACTTTACCTGGTTCTCCCAGACCATCCATCTACAATAATAAAAAAAAATCCAACATTAAATATATAACCTATAAATAAATTCCTGAATAACACAATAAAACGCTTCGTGATGCTCCTTACCAGATTCTATCTCATCCGCTTCACAAAACCTTATCTGCCAAACGAAGGGGGGGAAATTAGGAATCATCAAAGGGTATATTTACAAATATCCATTATGGAAACTGCAAATAAAATGGCTACAATTGGCCTCAAGTAAGTTTGGTATCTGATATTATCCAGTCTAGCAGTGTGACTAACATGGACTCTCATTTAAAACATGAATGAAGATAAAGTCCATGGTAATTGACAAGATATACGTTTGCTGTACAATTTTAAAAAATTCACAAGCCTTACAGCATTCGAGTTAGGAACTTTAGGACTCTCTGGACTCCCAAATGATCTAGCTGATGTTGGGCACCGAACAGGTGTTCCGGGTGCTATTGATATCTGCTCAAGCCTACCTGAAGTTTGAGGTGTTCCGGGTGCGATTGATATTTGCTCAAGTCTACCTGAAGTTTGAGGTGTTCCAGGTGCCACTGATATTTGCTCAAGTCTACCTGAAGTTTGAGGTTCTGATGTGGACAACTGTTCCAGGACAGAAGATTCAGAAACTCTGTCTACACAAGTCATAGTTTGCTCCGACCTGTTGGTAGTTATAGATCCAGATATCTCCGGTGCATTTGAATGTTCTCCATTTTTTAAAATTGTTACAGGGCTATCTATTTTTACTAGCATGTGAAGAACCGGGGAACTTGGAGCATCCAAGTTTTCAGGAGATTTCAACATTTCAGCAGATTGTGATATATTCACTCTGGTCTCAGAAAGAAGGGACCTAAGATCTGACGAAACACCTGTAGAAAACCACCATCAGACGACAAAAAAGTGTCTTTTTATTTTATCTTTACATATATATATTTATTATTTAAAACAAAAAAAAGCTTTCAGAAACTGTATAAGATTAATTTTCCAAATAAACTTTTTGCTTATTAATATTAAGTATGACTTAAAAAAAACACAAGCGAGAGTCTCAAAAACTTACAGGACATCAAAGGCACCGAGAAACCAAAGGAGAGATTAGAAATTTGACTAGCTTTCCAGGCAGTAAGAGCACTATGAGGACATTTTCTTCTTTTTGAAACCAAGTCACTTGCATCATATATGCTTTGCTTAAGTGTCCTGAAATAATTTAGCAACATATTATCTCATTTGTTATTCAAAAGAAGACAATTGTTCAGCAATAGATCTGATCTAACCCAGAATTAAGGTGAAAAATCAGGCTACTGGTTTTCTAACATTCGAGGGCAAAAGGCATTCAATTTTTTTCTACAAGTCACTAACTACAACGAGGTGCTCTTCAAGTATTATAAATATAAAAAGTTTATCCTCACAATCTCTTCAGGAACCATCCAGAGTCCAGACTTCAAAACATGCATCACCAGTTGAAAACACATTGGTTGGGAATCCAAAGTAACTGTCTAACATTTGCAAGATCCAACTTAAAGGTTATGATAACTTACTCATTAGACAAAACTATATTATCATCGACAATGCATTTTCTTTTCCTTGTTGCCCTAGGTCTCTCCTTGTTAGCTGGTGTCGAAATTGTTGTAAACTCAGGTGTCTTGATACCTAAATGGGAAAAATAGGACAGATTTTCACACTAGGCATAAGTATAACACACGGTTCGAGTAGTCAAAATAATACAGAAGCATTTGTTCCACTAAGAAAGGTTGGAGACAAAATGGCACATAATGAAATTCTAGATAAATCATTTAAATTGTGGAACTTGGGTCGGAAAATTTTACACACCTGCAAAATCTGGAAATTTGGGATCAGAAATTCCATCAACTGAAATAGATAGTTGAAGATTGTTTCTAACATCATCATGGTCTTCCATTTCTGGTGATTTCATTTCAAGAATTTCCAAATCATGCCCTTCACTATCCATTTCAATAAGATTTTTAGGTTCATTTTGCACGCCACAAGACATATCAATATCCATGCTATCCACTAGAGTTATAGTATTATCTCTAAGGTTCTCCATGCTTCTTTCTGAGTTGCAGATAATATGGTCTTCATTCATGAACTCAAGTTCATTTTCTGATCGATCTTGTTCCCTATAGATTCCCTCACTCAGATGATCTTCATCAGATGATTTCACATGCTCTGAATGTTCTTCCTCTATAATAGAAATTGCCTTGACAATTACATTTTCTTCATAAGAAAACCCATCAGCCAAAAACATTTCAGTGCTTGATTCAGGGACTACATCTTCATATTGCTGCATTTTCTCCTTCAATAGATCTCCTTCATCAGATTGATGATCTTCATCAAATAGTTTGATTGCTTTTAGATGTGCACTATCAATTCCAGTGGATACCCCAACCTCGTACTTTACTCGAGAGAATGTACTCACTTGAGAATTTTCTGGCATAATGTGGTAATGTGATGTGCTTGCCTGCATCTCAATGTCCTTGAGGTGAAGTGAAAAGACACTGAAGCAATAATAATATTAAAGACTTTCTCCCCAACTTAGAATGAAAATAGAATATTGAAATCAAGTAACAGGGGAGCTCAGCCTCATACTCTGTATCATCAGAAAAGCAAATACTGTGAAGTGCAATGATTTCCTTGCGATGGTTCTGCAGCAGTGAGATAAAATTGTCAACTATAAGTCTGATGAAATTTGAACTTCTAACGTTAAACTCTTAAATTGACTAGAGGTATCTCAAAAATCATTAACAACTATTATACAAACAGAACAGTATTGTGGCATTGAAACACTAGAACCAACATCATCAATCAAATTAATTTAGGTCTGACTCAAGTTCTAAGCATGATGATGACAAACTTGCCTCATCAAATGACAGCATGACATCATTTTTCCACACATTATCTGCATAAATTACATAAGATGCAGGTAGAAGTGTTAGAAGGAAATGAAAAATAAATATCAGCAGAAGAATGTAAAACAGACAGTGAACCTTTAAGGGTAATCTCTTCATGGGATGCCACATTACTTCTGAAAATTAGATAACTTCAAGTTAAAAATAATTATAATGAAAGATGCATAAGATAAGCCTCACCGAGAGATTAACTAACCGAATACCTACCCAGTAACATCCTCGAGAATCCCCAGATCAAACGCATCAAGTTCAAATCTTTTAGGAATGGTAATAGCATAGTAAGGTGTTCGCAAAGTTTCCTTTCTCGTGTCTTCCTTTGTATTGACCACAAATTCGTTGATTTCTGTCAGCACTCCATTGCAGTCAATATACAGATATTCAACTTTTTTGGAGTATATCCGGGCAAGGCCAAGGACAAGGTAGGCCATTACTCTATATGTCACAGCATTCAGTTCATCTCGCAAAATTTTATCTACATGAGGTAATAAATACAGGACAGAGGGGGGAAATGGTATCAGAAGCAATAGCAGAAAATAGCAGTAACAACCAGGAAATGAAGAGGAAGGGTGTGAATATGCAATTTCTGATGAAAAATAAAATATTGAAAAGCAGATCCTTTTAAAAGATGTAGTATAACTGACCATTGAAAAGGCCAAGAATGAACTAAACATTAATTCAGACTATGAATCACTGTAAAAAGGGCATCATCTTCTTCGTTTAAAAGAAATAAATTTTTTTGATAAGAAACCGAACTTTTCATTGAGAAGAATGAAAACAAAACAGAAATACAAGGGTACACAAAAACACAGTCCCAAAAAAGGAAGTCGGCCTAGAGAAAGGACTTCTAATCCAAAAGAATATGACCTAGCTGATAATTACATAATAAATTCAAAACATACCCCCATAAAGAGACATTAAACCTAACAAGGTCCTAGACAAAGGACTACACAATGTGTGACAGCATTCATTTCATCTTGCAAAATGGCGATCAGAACTGAGAGTAGAAAAAAATATTTACAAACAGAGCCTTAACCAGTTATTTGAGACAGGGAATCAATACATGGTTATGCCTGAGCTTTATAGATATTATAGATTGGTTTCCTCTTCTTCGTCATCAATTTGAAAAACACACATTAATGCTAGTTGGTCTCCCATTCATGCTAGTTAAGCTCTCTCAAAAACTATACTATTTTTTAGGCTACCAAATCTCTCAATAGTTGATTTCAGTATCTCCGACCACAATATTTACCATATAGAAATTTGCATATCGTAAGGTGTTTGTAACTTGTATCTAAAAGTTGTTTCCCCATGTTTTTTGTTATCAGAGGTAGCCTACTTTTTCAAACAATAGAAGTTGTTTTTCCTTGAAACTTGATGACCTTCCGAAGGATTGCCATGACCACCGTTTTTACAATGTTTGAGAGTTGTTGTGTAAAACAAGCTAGAAAGCAACTCATAATATTCTAAGTAACTACTCATCAAGACTAAATCCCAAAAGCTCATCTCATCTCATCTTACTTATTTGACCACCGATTCCACGATGGCCCATTTTGCACATTTTTCCTATTTAAACAATTACACTACTCGTTCTTCTCCGCAAAGCGCACACAGCCGCAATTATTTTCACGCACAATTCCTACCCAGAAACAGAAAGTAAACAGTATTACCGAATCCAAATATAATATACTGAGATAAAAATCCAAATCGATCTTCATTTACGTTTTAGGTTTTTCGAGAAACAAGGCAACCCGGTGATTAAGCAAATAATCTGTTAAAAGCTGAAAACCAATTTCAAAATTGAAAATCAGAAACTCCATCAAAAGTGCAATCCTCTCTCCAGACGGATCCTTCTACGATAACCTGCGATGAATTTCATAGACAACCAGCAATAATCAAACTGACAAATGCACCACCAATAAAAGAAAATGGTTTCCCCGTCTTCCTTCCAAATTGGTAATAGCAAACACGATTATGTTCAAAATACGTTAGGAAATATGACCGTTTGGTCACTAGGAAGAAACTCCGTAACCCAAAAGACAGGCGCACTGGAAGAACTTCGGCAAACAACTCAATACTGGGTGACATTTAAAAATCCCAAATGCAGATATGAAAATAAGAAAAAAATTTCAGGAGGGAGAAGAAGGGGAAGACGAACCTACAGAGGAGGGGATATCAGTCTCCATAACATGAGATTTCTTGAGCTTTTTGAAGCAGTAAGCAGCGACCCAAATGGCGCCTAATGGGCCTTTCCTCGAGAGAAGGCAGTGTGAGTGAAACATGGCTTCAATGTCTTCTCTTTTACGCCCCAAAAAGTGAAGGAACGGTGAACCTTTCGGCTCTGGAATTCAAATGGAGCGGAGAGTGCAGAACTTCCATGCAAAATGGAGAAGAAGAAGAGTGCTCGGGAAGCTTTTAATCCACCGAACCCCAAAAATAAAAAATAAATAAAATAAATGAATAAGAAGCTTGCGAGGTAGGAATCTGAAATGGAAATGAATTGTGTCCGGAAAAGGAAATTTGTGAAAAGTTTTGGGGAGAAAAAGGAAATTGGATAAGTTGGAGGCTGGAATTGAATTTGGGGCAAATGTTTTGAAATATTTTGTGAGAGAAAATCAACCGACGGCCAACGACGGTTTTTCTTCAACATGGTTGTGTTAGTTCACAATCAGAATCACAGATACGCCGATCGTAATGATAAAAAGTAAGTAAATAAATACGCCCATCCTAAATCTTTCTTACATCCTTATATTTATCTTATAACATTACTAAAGTTTTCGCTCCTCCTTATTAATTTATACAATTTTTTTTATATCCTTCGGACCAGCTTGCATGCCTCAAACTAATATATTTCTTAGATTTAAATTATAAATCACATATAGATATAGAAAATGAAACAATTTGACCAGAGAATTTTAACTTTTTAACATAAAAGTCAAACCTAGCATAAGAATAAATAGTATCTATTCCATCCTTTAAATCAAATTTATATATAAGGAATATTGGGGTGAGGATCGAACTCTCAACTTCTTAATTTTAGATATATATCAATTAACTTTATTTCGTTGGTGTGAGATTTAAATATAATAAGAGATAAAATTATATTATAAATTTTTTAAATACAACAATGAAATTGAATATAAACTTAAAAACATAAAAAAGACATTTTTTATATCTCATTGGGGTCGAAAAGAAAAAACATTTATTATTTCATGCCCTCAAATAATAGTTTTGATGGTTCTGGAAGGGCTCAAATCTTCACCGTTGGGTTTAACGGAAAACCCTAATTAGTATTCTCAGGAAGCACAGAAATTAACAAACAAGTCCGGGATTTTTGAGGAAGTGGAATCAGTTGGAGCATGAAAGTCTAGTTCCATGGCTATGTTTCTGAAACGTTCACTCTCCTACAGAAATTTCCTTCTTTTTCGAAATTCTGCAGTTCCTAGTCGCAAGTTTTCCTTCTTCGTCAACGATCCCAGCATCGCATGGACCTCCGAAACGCCTGGGGTTTTTGCTCTTCCTCCTGCAGATTTCATCCGAGAAAGTCGCAGGGGCTTTGCTAAAGCCCGAAAATCAAGTAATCGTCTTTATATCTCTTACCATGCTTTTTTCTGATTTCGGAAACTCGTCGCATTGACTCTTCCCATGGTTAGAAATCAACATCAATTTTTTATATTGTTCATGGCCCTCCTGCTTCTTGTAAGCTCTGGTTTTGAATCGCTTTAATTTTCTCATTGGGAAGATGATTCTTCTACAAGCATGGCTGAGGCACTGCCTGATATTAGACCCACTATTAAAGCCAACGCTAGCTCACAGATGGAAGCTGCAATAGCTGCATTATCAGGAGAACTAAGCAAACTTCGAACAGGAAGAGCATCATCAGGTAACACTTCGAGGTTTCATTGTCTTGGCCTTGCATTATGATTGCTTACACTATCTTATACACTGTATTTACAGGAATGCTTGACCACATTATAGTAGAAACTTCAGGCTTGAAGATGCCGTTGAATCAGATTGCTGTTGTATCGGTCTTAGATTCAAAAACACTGTCGATAAATCCGTATGATCCTAATGTAATCAACTTACAAACCCCTGTTGTTATGTTATTACTTCTGCTTTCTACTTCGTGAGATGTGGTTAAATTTTCAGGTTTGTGCTTATTCCTGTTAAAGAGACTATATTGTGAAGTGAAATGAACAGAAAAGATGTTGCATCTAATTTACATCTTCCATTGTTCTTGAAATAGATTCTTTTGAATTTTGTTTTATTAGATTATTGACACGAGAATTGGATACACTTCTGGCACATCTGTTAGACTTCTTGATGTCTACTCGTAAAGGCTATTCTGTTCTGAGACACCGAACTTACGATATTTACTCCTCTATGCAGACACTGAAGAATTTAGAGAGTGCTATAGTTTCATCTCCTTTAGGCTTAGCACCAAGAGTAGATGGAGAGAGGTTAATTGCAGTCATTCCACCGTAAGCCTACATTTTGCTCTTCCAATGTCTATATTCTGTTTGGGCTGGTAAAGCCTTTAGGATGAGATTAGAAAGATTGCTTAAGTTAATATGGCTGTTTACTGTTTAGAAGTTGTTTCTCTAAGAATTATCAGGGCAAAATAGTTGTCTCAGCTGTTTATTTAACATGAAAGTTAGATTAACATTCAACACCTTGACCAATATTATTTCCTGATTTTTCTTTTTTATGCTCGCTATACCAGATTGACCAAAGAGCATATCCTGGTAATCTCCAATTCTTTTTTCCATCTCTCCATCTTGTTACTTTGCCTTCTTTCTGTAATTCATACTGGTCGACATTTCTTCTAGGCTGTATGTAAGCTGGTCACTAAGTGTTGTGAAGATTCCAGGCAAAGCATACGAAGAGCTCGTCAAAAGGTATTTTTAGCAATGTCTTCACCTGCTACATTTATTTTTCAAAAATCACTTTACATGATCATAGAGAGCGTAAAAGATTTCAAACAGTTCTCTATTGATTCATGATGTACCTCGTGTGGTAAGTTCGTGTGGCCTTGTGTGTGTGTGCATGACAAAGTTGAATTAGTCTGCAAATAGTCCCAGGTTTTGCAAATGCATCATAAAAGCACTCTATTCGATTATTATTTTACAGAATTATGAGTATATTGGTGGTCGATTTGCAGGCAATGGATACAATTAAAAAAATGAACGCTAGCTACCCAAAGGATGATATTAAAAGACTGGAAAAAGAAGTGAGTTGGAGACTACGTACCTAATCAAATCACAGTTCCAAGTTTGGAACTTGCTTTTTATATTTGTTGAATCTTGTTGCGTTTCTGCTTCCAGGTAGATGAATTGACTAAGAAGTTTATCAAGTCAGCCGAAGACCTCTGCAAGGCAAAGGAGAAGGAGATCGCTGGAGGTTGAATAATCGAAATTTTTTCTAGTACCCAATTTTGACAAATTTGTTCGCAAATAATTTGTTGTAGTTCTTTTGATTGTTATAAACTAAGATTAAGTCCCATTATAGAGCTTTTCATAGCCATATTGAGGGATGAAACAATGAACTGAATGAATACGTCACATTTTGAAACATCGACACAATCCTAGTGGATTTCACTGAAATGGATGTTGTGGTCGTCGTTCTTGTCAACAAGTTTTGATTCTTTTTATCTTTTTGTTGAAAAAATCAGTAGGTTTCACAAATCAAAGATTTGGCTGAAATAAACCATATATGTGATTTACAATCCTCTTCTTTTGAAAAGCTGAACTTTGTGCTTTGTCATCCTACTTTAAAATAGTTTTGAAACCTTAACGAGATTTTAAAACTTAAAATTCTTAAAAAATAAAAGATGAAGAAAGAGAAAAATCCTGTTAAAAAGGGTGCATAAGAAGCGAGACTGCAAAATCTGAATAACCCAACTTCTCTTCTGTCTAATTCTAATAAACGAGAAAGCATTTACAACAACTCCCAACCTTGATTCATAAAAGGAAACGAAAAAAATATTATATACTTCGAGATGGAAGTACACCATACGAAACACCGGTTTATATACATAATCCCCTCATCCTTCAAATTTCCTTTCGCTCGCCAATTATGGCTTCTCTTGTCACTAGTCTTATACCTCTCACCCACAACTCAGCCATTTCACACCCACCTTCACATACAAAATGCAATTCCTTGTTCTTGACAGTCACCACTCTGAATAGCCCAGGTTCACTACCATCCCCCTTGTTACGTCTGTTCCTCATGAATCTCGGGCTCGACCCGACCTTGACCTCTCCGCAGACGACGTTTCTTCTGCTTGACTTCCCCCACCGCAGCATCCCCATGCTCCCTATCATTCTCAGCTCTTTCCCGTGTGGGCTTCCTTTTCCTCCTCTGGTGTGTTTCCTTACACGAGCACCATGTAACACGAGCCGACGTGCTAGCTCGTCTAGTATCACTTCCTCAGCTTCACTCTTCTCATTTTTCCTTGCAAGAGAGAGCGCGGTTTCACCTCTTGTAGTTCGTGTGTCTGCACAAGCTCCGTGAGAGATCAGAAGTTTACACATTGATCCATGGCCACCCCTTGCAGCTAACATGAGAGGGGTGTAGCCATCACCATCTACAACATTTACGTCGTAGCCTTTATTTGTCAAGAACTTCACTGCATCCAAGTCTCCACGTCTTGCAGCACAATGCAAGGCATAGAAACCAGCTGCATTACGGTTGCCCATGTCGAGGGCGAATTCGAGCATCACCTTCTCAAATTGGTCGTGGTTTGGGTGCAATTGATAGAGGCTGATTGCTGTTTCACCAGATTTATTGCTCAGCCTTACATCAGCGCCAGCATAAACCAGCAGCCGGAAGGCTTCAGCGTGACCATTCGAAGCAGCAACCATGACTGCTGTAGAACCATGGTCGTCCTGGTAGTCCAGATCATGTCCTCCCCAGCCAATCAAAGCTTTCAAGGCTTCCATATCACCAGTTTGAGCTACAAAGATAAGTGGACAGAAGACAGACATATTTCCGGAAATGGGTCTTTTCCCAGTTTTTATTAAATCAATCACCGATTCTTGAAAACCTAGAGACCACCGATTTGAGCCAGCAATTGAACTCACGGACTGTCCAGCTCCATTAACCAAGCCAAAGTCAGCACCAGCTGCACCCAATACTTTAAGACATTCTTCATACTTTTGTTTTGCACATATCATAAGCGCAGTATCCCCTGAATCTGTCTTTGAGTTTATATCAGAACCAGCATCAATGAGACATTTAAGGACGGTTGACATCCCTAATCGAGCAGCCATGTGCAGCGGACGAAACTCTGTTTTTCCGGTTGTTTTGACGGGGAATTCGACATCAGCGCCACATTTAGAAAGGACATCGACAGCTGCTGCATTGCCACAGAGAATAGCATGGTGGATGAGGGTTCTTCCATAGTGAAGAACATTGGGGGACGTGTGGCGAAGAAGCATGCGCAAGATAGCACCACTGCTTTCGAAATACTCCACTGCGCACCAGGTAACATCATAAGGCTCTGCCAGTCCTGCACCCACTCGGAACTCCTCTCCAGTATCCATATCCCATGACCATGCTCCCAACCTTACGCTAATATCAGTCCGGGCTCCAGCCTGTTTCCCATTGAAAACGTCATAGATTTGTTAAGCAGTGCAAAAGGATTTAAATGAAGGAAGAAATGAAAATTATTTTCCTTGCATGCGCCATCTTCATTTTTCTTTAAAGGTGAGAAAATCACCTGGAGAAGAAAACGAACAATTGAGATCTTTCGACTAACTACTGCAGCGACCAGTGCTGTACAATTGACATTTGTATGGAGAGAAGGCTTAGAGGACTGGAGTAGCACTCTATCAGTAGCATTTGCATTCACACCACACTGCCACCAGCAAAAGATACAGTCGAAATTACGTCAGAAAAGATACAATAAAGAAAACATCTGAAATGACAAGACCAATTAATGAAGTTGCTCCGGCCCACCATCGGATTAATTTAATTTTATTAGTGAAATAAGGTGCTACCAGCAACACAAAGTCTACTTATCTAAAAGAGGGGAAAAAACCAAAATTCGGTACTCTCACAACCAAACGAAATTGTACTTAACAGTACTTATTAGCAAATGAATATGAATGGTACCTTTAATAGTGTGTCCACCACATCAACGAAACCCCTGCAGCATGCAGTCACGAGAGCGTGAACTGCAATATTGGGTCGAATCAAATCAGACCCCATGAGCAGCTCTGCAGACCTTGCATGTCCGTGGCAGCTCGACTCCAGAAGAGCTTCCTCGCAAGCTGGCTGAGATGCTCCAGCCTTGAGCAAGATCTCGAGTATCTCAAGATGGCCCTCTCTCACTGCTGCTGTTGTCGCAAATCCCCTGAATAGTTTCTGGTTCACATCAGCTCCAACGCTCTGACAATCAAATTAAACTCAAGTCTTAGCAGAACTCCAGTAATAAGATTCGCATTATCCCTAAAGTTACCTAAGAAATAAGATAACAGCAAAAGAATTTCTAACGTGATAAGCAGGCATTGCGGCGTGGAACTATGATCAGGTAATGGTTCGTACAGAAACGCGCAAATAAACGATGAGGGGAATATATGGAACTGTATGTGGCTTCTATTCTACAGACCGGTAACAATAAATATATTCTAGTAAAATATAAATTACATATATTTCTAATTTCATCACCACAAACGCACATAACGCCCCTTAAAATCTTCATATTCCAGATTTTTTGGGGACAACGGAAACGAGTATACGATATACGGAATGGACATTCAGCAATGGTAAAAATGTTAGTAAAAAGAACCAGTCATTGTTTGAAATTCGAAAACATTAACAGAAATTAGATAAGAAAGCACGAAACGGAAGGTGCGAGGAGTAATTGGTTCGCCATTTATTGATAGAGTAAATCGGCGGCCTCGGATCGAGAACGAGTAAACATCTCTGTTCAGCGCTAAAATCGATCTGAACACTGAAGTTCAAAAGAGAAGAAAGCAATGTGATAGTGGAAGAATACTCAGAACAGGCTTATCTGAATTTAAAAATCTCTGGATTTAAAAGTCAACCAGCACTTCTCAATGAAATGCATCGAAGATTCAAATCATTGAAATCGCGCCAGATGCAGAGGAAAAATAATGCAGTCTAGTAAAAGAAAAAAGCACAAGCAACTTAGAGATGCGAGAAAATCAACGACGAAAAACGTGCTCGTATTTTTTGAGAAAACAAGACATTAAATGCTCAAGCAGTGATGCAAATCCGCAGGAGCGAAGTAATTCAAATCTCAGCTTCGGAACAACAGAAATGAAAATTCAAAAAAAGACGAACCAACAATTTCTTCACGAGAGCCACATTTCCGGTGTGAACGGCGATGAACAAGGCCGTGACGTCAGTTTTAAACTCATCATACTCGACGCGAACTTGTGAGGCGGATTCATCACTCAGCACCAACTCAGTCTTCCTGTTCTTGAGATGCACAGCGCCGACGAAGTTGACGTCAACGCAGGGATTGGCAATGCAGTCGAGAGCCGATTTGAGATCTCCGGAGTGGGAGGCTTCAATGAGCCTCTGGGAGACCTCCGCCTCGAAGTTCAACGGAAACACCTGTTTTCCGGAGAACACCGTCATGGTGAAGGTGAGGGAACGGGAGGTCCGGCAGTCCGACAGAGTCGCCGGAAAGCGAGGTCCCTAGTCTGAGACTCTGAGACTCAGTGTGATTTTTGAAATGAAAAGAGAGAGAGAGAGAGAGCAGAGACAGAGGAGGAGAGTGCGGAAACTTGAAACAAGTGAGCGGCAGAGACAGGAAACTACAGCGAGCGTGCGAATTTATTGGGATAGTTTAAATTTAACCCCGTCTCCCTTTTTTTTCCCTTTTTTATTTTTCTCTCTCCTTCCCTTTTAATTTAAAAAATAAAAGATAATAATGTTTGACTCAGTCGCTAACGCCAAAATTTGAGATTTATAGATGTGGGGTCCACTTTCACTGTTTAAAATTTTAGCCGCCGAAGAGCTGAGCATCCGGCGGCTCGGCTTTCGGCTCGGCTTAGCAGGCACTTGCTATTATCACGGGGGATCCTTCCAGTAGTACAGTGGCGGTGCGTTCCTGTGAGATCATCTCCAAATCATATTTAATACTGATTTTATATATTGATTTTTTTAAAATGTGATCTATTACTTTAATAATGTTGAATCAAGAAATCGACAAACTCTGCGAACGTCGGTCCAGATTGGATGAACTGGACAGTGAGCTCCCAAACGTCAAATAGCAGACTTGCAAAACAGAGTAAGCACTCCGATGTCAAAATTAGTGATAGTTCCAATGAAATCGAGAGAGAATCGAAATGTTTGCATACCTCTAAATGAACGAAATGTCTATATTTATAGGCGAAGACCCGACAGTATTCCCGACAATGCTTCAACGGCTCTTTAAGGTTAGTCTGAGGTAAGCCAATTGGCTCAACCAATATCATGAGAACGCAATCCCGAACAAGCTTGTTCTGCTCGACCACCGAAGGTAATCGGCTCGGTCAAACGAACGAGCTAAGATGGGTATACTTAAGTGTAATTTCTATGGTATCTATGAGCCACGTGTCATATTTAGCATCCACCTGCCATCTATCAACGTGTACGCTAAAATCTACCTCCAACAAATAATTTAGCTCAGATTTAAAATATTATGCTTTTTTTTAACAAATTATACATGCTAACTCTAACTCTTCTGTTAATAACAAAAGGTTAGCCTGCTGCATTTTCTTTAAGAAAATAAAATGCAAGATTAGTTATAAAATTAAAAAAAAAGGAGAGAGAGAGATAGAGAGAGAAGGTATATCTTTTTACATAATAATAAAACAAAAATACTTTTGTTTAAAAATATCAATATGCTAAATAGTTTGAAAATGATGTTTTAAAAGACACGCCCAGCAATCTGAAAAGTGTTCAAATTAATAAAATTAGTTTTTCAATTATTTTGTTTCCGACACATTGATATTTTAATTTTATTATCCTTAAAACTTTCGTTCTATAATCTTTTTTTTTCATAACAAACGATCACGTTTATGGACGTGGACTTTTCTAATCTTTGTTGAGTTCACAAATTTGAATATTTAAACTACTAAATAAAAAAATTCTAATTAAAGATTTGTTGGTAACGTTTTTACTTATTGTTGTTGTTTCATCACAAAGAAAACAGAATTGTATGATCTGAATACCTACAGATTCATTAATGATAAAACAAAATATTTATTTGTGTTTGAACAAATTGAAACGAGAACAATAAACAATAAATTTATTTTTATTGTTTCCAAAACTTCTATACAATTTGTTGAATGTTCTAAACAAAAATAAGAAACAAAATACATAAATAAGTTGTCAAATATTTAGATTTCTTAATAAAATTGAAAACAAGAAATAAGAAAGGATGACATTATCAAACAAACTCTAAATAATTGTTTTTTTTCCTACGCAACCGGAATCGTGTTCTAGAAAGAACAAAAAAAAACTTCATAATTTAATTTGCGGCTAAAATATTATATAATTAAGAGAATAGCAAATTTTAATTTTAAAAAGCCAAATTTGAAGTTGGGGGACGCACGCCTTTAAACTTTGACCAAATACTTAAAAATTTACCTGCAGTAAAAGAAAGCATGTATATTGTACTCATGAAACAAGTTAATTTCTTTAGTAACGGTTTCCCGTAGTAATTTAAATTGGATATTATTGGCCCATTCATTCACGAAACGCTGCGTTTATAATTATACATTATTAGATAATATCGGTTGCTTCTTTTTTCTTTTTATTTGAAAAAAGGTATTATCAGTTGATAAAATATTCACTTATCAATTTCTATTTATAGCTCAATTATTGGCCATTATTATATATTTATTGAAGGAATTGAAACGTGAATTTCAAAATTTGAGATTTTTTTATAAAGTCAAATGTCCTTTTTTTTTAGGAATAAAGGATCTATTGCATTGGTCATCATATTTGGACAACCTTTAGTATTAGGAATTTATTTATCCCATGGGTTATAGATGAAATATATATTAGCACTCCAAAAGGATAAATAATAAAAATTGTTTTTGAACAATAACATGGGCACATTATTTAAAAAAAAAACAATAATATGAGTATAATTCACAGTAAATGATATATCCCCTTCTATAAAAGTTGGAAGTTTGAATATCTCATATTATGAGAAAAAAAAGGAAAAAAAAAAAGGCTATGCACTTGAACATAGTTTATTATAATTGGTTAAAATAATGGTAATAAGGCAACATTGGCAATAGTATAACTAATTAGACATCTGCTCTTTTTCTCCATAAAGTATAAAGTAATGTCTACTAAAAAAGCTATTAAGTATTTTTTTTTCTTTTGGAAAATAAACGATTAAGTAATCTTGAAAAGTATGGCATTATATTGAATCATCACCGTGCGTCGCTTGAATGATAATATTCCAAAATTAATATTTACTTAAATGTAGTATATAAGAGTAATTTCCTTCATTAATGACATTGAAAAATTGATTTTGGCAAAATTTGATATTTTTTATCTCTTTAATTACATGTCAACATGGCCTCACTTTACTTAAAAGAATAACTCTCAATCGATCAAAGCATTACTTAATTACTTTCGTTCTTAAAGGTCGGATATTCGAATTATCATCTTTTATTTGTTGAACTTGTTATGGGCTCAAATACGACGAAACATGTGGGTGAATCCCCAAGTGACACGAAGGTGGGGGGAACAAGCCCACGTCTATAGGCCAATGAGGCAAAGTCATCGTGTGTCTTAGAGACAAGTCCATTCTCCTTAGACTAAGACTAATCAACAGAATATCCGCTAACATTTTGCAGAAGTACGGTCGTGGTGTGATATGGCTGCAGAAGTATGATTTCGTCAGTTAAAGTATTTTTATCACTAGTCGTAACATTTACTAGTTTCTCCAAAAGTATTATTTGAATCTATTGCAGCACGTTCTCCCAAAACACTTCTCCATAAAATGAAGGAGTCAAATCATTCTCAAAGATATATAACAACTTGCACAACATATTTGTTCTCCTCTTAGTTGATCATCTGAACTGATATCAAACTTACACGCATTAGAGTGTAGTCATACAGAGTACTACATTGGTGTTGAGTTTGATCTTTGTACGTTATACGGGAGCAATTATGTCATCCTCTATCAACAACGTTAGCATACTATATTCGGACATCAACAAAATTAAAAAAAGAAAATTATACCTATCAAGTAACATAACTCAATTCATCAATACTACTCCCATAACCCTCCAAATCAAGTAACTAAATCTTTACAATACCACTATACTTTTCATACCATCTACATTAAAATATGACACCAGAATAACAAATTTCAATTTGATATGTGTGTATATGATTCCTTCCCTCTAAATAATTTATTTAGAGGGAAGGAAAGGCGTGGGCGAGAAGGG